CCCAGCACAGCTGGCCCTCCTGCCTCGGTGGATGGGCACGGGCATGCCAGATAAAGCTCCCATGGGGCACATGATCTGGGGTTGGGCATTACATGCCTCTGAGGAGGTGAGGGCCCGCAGAGGGCTGATGCGGACTCAAGTCACAATGGCCTTGAACAGTCCCTGGGAGGCAACGGCTGGCTCCCTGTAGAGCTGACAGGGCTGGTTCTTGTTTGTTTTAGGAACACATAAATAACCCCCATTTTAAAACCCTAGAACTCCCTCAGGCACAAAATGCCCACACTTTGAGATTCATGCCAGCCCTTTCTGCCTCCTCGGAGCCCCACCTTCATCAGGCAGGGCCCTCACTAGGATCACCAGTGCCACCTGCAATCCCCCTTTTCCTTTTTCCTTCCAAGCACATAAGTATGAATTTGCCGTAAGCTAGATAATGTACATGGGGCAATTTCATATGCCCGTCCCCATTTACTATTTATTAAAATTGGCTATTAGTATTCCATTATATTGCCCACGTAACTATTTCCGTTCAACATGTGAATTGTTTCCCTTTTTTCCTGCTATTATAAACAGCAGTGCTATAAATATCTTTATTTTTTTTTCCATTTGAATTATTTTATGGGAATGTTTTCCCTGAAGTGAAATTGGCTGGCTGGCAAGTATGCACAATTTTATGGTTCCTATGATTTTTTTCCTTCAAATCACTCTCCCAAAAGACCATCACTACTATTACTTCGTGTGTGTGCGCGTGCACAGCCCCGCCAGCTCTGGGTTTGATCATTTGTATTTATCTTTACTGATTAATTGGTGTATAACAGGTATCACCTACATATTATGCTTTCATTTGCTTAGTTGCTAATAAGAATGAGTAAAGTCCTTCTCTTAAAACCCAGAAAAATAAAATAGGCACCACATCTATAGTTTAGAAAAACTTTCTCCATTTTCCAGGATTTGGAGGTACCCATAGCTGACCCTGAGGCTGCGATTCAGCTGGACAGGCCGGAGCTCAGCCTCCTTACCCACCATCACCATAACGGTCCAAGGAGACTCCTTCAGCCAATAAAGCCATTTATCTCCTCCCACGAAACTGAAAACACAGCAGACATTCTCTTTTCCCTGTGTGGCTTAGATGAATCCTGGCATTTCTTAATTGCCATATGTTGATTGTTCAGGATTGANCCCTCCCCACGGGGCACTCATAAAACAGCACCCTTTCGGAGCCACATCCCAAGCAGGGCCTGCCCTGGCCAGTGACCAGGAGAAGGCACTGTGGGCAGAAGAGGAGAGAGGATGTACGTGGCATGCCCACTAGATGGCACCTCTCAATAACTAATGGGAGAAGACGCTTCCTTCCAAGCCTGGCTTGCCCTCCCCAGCCTCCACACTGTGGCACCCGCAGCCGCACTGTGGCACCCCCAGCCGTGTTTACTTCCAAGCCAGACATCTCAAAACACAGAAAAACAAAAAAGTTAATTCTAGCTAAAAATACACCATCTGCCTATGAAAAATTTCACTCGGCACTGTCACGTCAACACCCAAAGCAGGTTAATATCCAGCCCTGGAGCAGATGGTTTCTTTTTATAATTACCAGGTCCCACACCAAAGCTTCCTCCTCAGCTGCCTCTTCGCCCTGCTGGCAGCATGAGGTCATTACCCGGGCGATGCAGGGAGTGCCATACAACTGGGAGTGCCAGTCCCACCATGGGTCACCTGGCCACCCAGCCTCCCTGCCAGCCACAGGTGGGGCAACTGCAGCCCTGTGGAGTCCCCTGCTCACCCTCCACTGGGCCTCAGCACTGAGGCCACCCCTGGTCAGGTGGCCCAGCAGTGGGGCACTCCCAGCCATCTTTCATAGACAACGAGAGGAACAGCCAAGCCACAAAGCCAATCAACCCCACTCAAAATGAAATCAAAAGAAAAATGGGGCCGAGCCCATGGCGCACTCGGGAGGGTGCGGCGCTGGGAGCGCGGGAGCACTCCCGCCACCACGGGTTTGGATCCTATATGGGGATGACCGGTGCGCTCACAGCGCTCACTGGCTGAGCGCAGTGCCGCCGGTCTCAAAAAG